TTTTGAGGTATTGAGAGTTTTTGGAGATAACCAATTATGTTCCTGCTTACTTTGTCTCTAAGTTCCCCTGTGTGACTCAAGTGTTGTATGGCACTTCTACTATGAGTAAAAATCCATATATCGTGATGTTTAGTATTTCTGATGGATTTTAAGACTTCATAGATGGCTATAAGTTCTGATCTGAAGATTGAGCAAAAATCTGGGTTTCTTCTGTTCATTTTCTCATTGCCATTTGTGGGTTTAATGAGAGAGCCACTGCCAGTGTGTCCCAACTCGTCTCTGCTACCATCGGTATAGATAGTTATTGCATTTTTAGGAATTTTATTAATTATTTCTAATGATAATTGTTTTAAGTATTCTGGATTTTGGTATTGTTTGTTGGTGGGTTCGTTTAAAGTGGCATTAAAAATAACATTTTGTTAGTGGTTCGCATGTAGATATTTTTTCAGCTAAATAATATTTTTCCACTTTATATTTTAAAAATCCATTTCTTTTGGCCAAGTGGAGAGGGCCTTCTTTTTTGAGTCTTATATTGGGTTCCCAAATAAGTATGTAATTGAAAGTTCTGTGTTTATTTTCATAACTCTTGATTTTGTTTATATATTTTGGCAGATTGTAGCTTATTCTATCCTTTAATGGCATAATGTCTGCCCCGCAAAATACAATATTATTAGGGCAGGTATTTCGAAGACCTGTAATAATTCTAGTAGAATTTAGTTGTATCCTTTCCAGTGTTTTTAGATTTGTTTCAGATGCTGTACCATAGATTTGATATCCATATTCCAAGATAGGTCTCATTAGAGATGTGTAAGTTAATTTTAGTGTTGTTGCTTCAGCTCTCCACTCTTCCTGAAATATAATTCAAGATTTTTAGTCGGTCTCTTCCTTTTCTAACAACTCCTTCAATTATGGATCCAGGGTGTAGCCGAGATATTTAATATGTTTATTATATTGCAATTGTTGTTCTTTCAGAATAATATTTGGTCTTATTTTGTATAGTTTCTTATCGGTAGTAAAAAGACAGGTTTCAGATTTTTGGGGGTTAAATTCTAATTTATGTTTATTAGCAATTTTTTCTAGGTGGAGAATAGTCTTGTTCAAATCTCTTTCAGCTTTTTTCCGGTAAGTGTTGCTGCTCCATAGAATAATGTCATCAGCGAAAAGTCCAATATTGGTTTTATGTGAAAATTTGTCTTCTATGCCTGCAATAAATAGGGTGAAGAGAGTTGGGCTAAGGACTGATCCTTGTGGTAATCCTTGGTACAATTTGAAGGTTTTAGATAGAGTGCCATTATATTTGACCCTGATGTATATATTTTTAAGGGAATCATTTATCCAAGTGATAGCTTTTCCATCAATTTTGAAATGTTTGTATAATTTTGTAATTAACTTGTTTTTCCATACCTTATCAAAAGCTTGTGTAAGGTCTAAAAAGCAGCTATGGTGTGGTTAGTTGGCTTTTTGTTTTGTGCATCTTTTACCTTTTGTGTGAAAAATAAGAGTTGGACTATTGTCCCATGTCCTTTCCTAAATCCATATTGTTCTTCTGGTAAGAGATTTCTTGTGTCGAGGTGGTAGGTGAGTCGTCTGAATATAATTTTTTCCATTTATTTGCAGCAAATATTTGTGAGGGAGATAGGTCGGTAGTTTTTTGGGTCATCAGCAGATTTGTCAAGTTTTTTTATGGGAATTATTGTTGCATTTTTACAGTCTTGAGGCAATTTTCCAGTTTTCCAGGAGTTATTGAAAATATTAAGAAGTCTTTCTTTGCCAATTTTGCCCAAGTTTGATATCATTCGGCCATGCATTCCATCTGGCCCAGGAGTCTTGTTTAGGTCAGTGTTTTCTAATGCATAAGCTAGCTCTTTCATATTGATTTTTTTCATGGAAAATATTATGAGTGCTGGTGACATTTTTACAGTCATGAATAATCTTTCGGGCCTTTTTTCAACCTTGATTTTACTACTTATTTGATATGAATTACCTAAAGGATTGGCAGCAATTTTGTCATTAGTTGCTGGTGTACTATCTGTATTCTCAATCATATTTGTGTTTTCAGTTTGTGGCTGGACTCTGCCAATTTGTTTTGCCAAATTCCAAAGTTTTGTATTTGGGTTTTTTGGGTTCAGGTTTTCACAAGTTTGTTTCCATTTTTCCCTTTTCACATTTAGGTATAATCTTTTTATTTTTGCAATCACAATGTTCAGTTCAGTTCTACAATTTGTTTGGTTTTGGGTGCACTTTTTTGTAGTTCATTTCTTTTAGTTATAAGTGTTTGAATATTTTTTGCCTGGTGTGTATAATTTGGAATCCATTTCTTAATATAACCTCTTGGTATTGAAACTTTGGCTGCTTTAATAATGGTGTTTTCGAAAGATATCATATTAGCCTTTTTGAAGTTCCATAATTTTTCTTAATTGAGCTAGTTTTGGTCTTGGTGCTAATTTCTATCAATTTAGGCAAATGATCACTTTCAAAACCTTTTAATATTTGCTATTTGCATTTGTAGAAAATGTCAGGATAGTAAAAACTTATATCAAGGGCTTGTGCAGTATTATAGCTGTAGGAATGATGGGAAGGATTCCCGTCATTTAAGCACATGAAGGCATTGTCGTCAAATATGTTTGATAGTATTTTACCTCTTGGGTTTGGCGTAGAACATCCCCATAGTTGATGTTTGGCATTAAGGTCACCTAAAATAATAGTGTTGTCTGTAAGAAATTGAGCCATTGTTCCATCGTCAATAAATGTATTGTTTGGAGGGTGATACATATTGTATATGTTGATGGCTTTGTTTTGATTGAGGTAGACTTTGATACCTTGGGTTTCGAGGTCTAATGTGTTTGGAATATTAACGGCTATGTCCTCATAATACAAATTATTGATTAAAAATGCTAGGCCACGCTCTTTAACAGCATATACAGATGGATCTTCAGACCTTACCCTGAGTAATGGAGGGGCCGGAATTAACATAATACTGCAAGATGGAACAAACATCAAAATCAAAGAAGGAGCAGGACAGATTTCGTCAAACTTCACTTGTGAACTGACAGCTATCTGGAAAGCCCTTGATGTATGCCTTAACCAATCATCCCTGCATCAAGCAGAAGGAATTTTAATATACAGCGACTCCATATCCGCTCTAGAAGCAATTCAGAAGGGCAATACTAAAATCACACAGAAAATACACTCGTTACTTACCCAACTGGAACCATTGGAGAATAACTGCATTCTACATTGGATCCCTGCCCATGCTGGGATCGGGGGTAATGAAATGGCATTTGAATTGGCAAAGGAAGCCAGAAAGTTGAGCCAAAGGAAAGAACAAATGTCATTATTTGACGCTGATTCTTTGTCAGAATACAAAATAATTAAACAAAAAAATAAGAAAAGATCAAAATGCGAAATAAACTCTGAGAGAAAAATGACAAAAACTATAACAAGACTTAGAACAAAACACTATAAAGGAATGACAATACATCCAGATGGCACAAGAACCTATAGGGCATGCAACAATTGTCCTGGTGTGGAACTTACACCTACCCACATATTCTCATGTCCAGCAATGGCCGCAGCCTTGCAGAAATTTGACATAGACCCAAAGCAGCAGCTTTACACACCCAAGATAGTGGACATTGCTGCTGATGTGATGGAGATGCATGGTATATCTGAGGCTCTTTATTGGACACGACAACAACAACGGCATTCCAAAGTTAAATAAATTATCAGAGATAGATACATATTTTTCAAATGAATTAAAATAAATATAATCGATACTGAGTGAGAGTTGAATTAAAAATATTAGAAATTTATTATCTTCTCGGAAACAAACCGTATCTAAAATATCAATTTTCTTTTTGCTACATGTTTTAATTTGCATTTACCTATTTTACATATCTCTGATTGTATTTGAAAATCGTTAACCAATTCTTCATACTTTTGGCGAAGTGGTGTTTTATTAATTTGTTATTTGATATTATTAGGGTTCTTTCCTGGTATTCAAAAAGGAAAAATACGTGTCGATCAGTTATATTTTTCAATTTATCAAACAATTTGGCCGCTGAATCTCTGATTCTGGTAGAGCGCCATCTGGCGAATAAAATTGTAACTAAAATCAATTTCGAATTTTACATTATTTGCCATAAAAAATCCCATTGCATCCTGAACACAATGGTGTTTACCGCATTGCTCTAGCGCGAATATTCGCGGAGTTATTAATTTTTAAAGTTGTGCGGGACTTTTGGATCACCCTGTAAATAACATTATTGTAGAATCTCTCTCTCTCTCTCTAAATCAATAGCTACCCACTAGGTATACCCGAGTGTCAACCAACGAGGGTCTGTGTGGACGTTGCGTGACAGGAGTCACGTCACCATTGTGTCAGCTGGGCGGTAAAAGCCGTTGGGTGGAGATACCATGTACCGTGGAATTATCGATTACCTAACAACCTAACTAGTAAAACAAAGAACGTAGCTCATGGAAAGTTTTCTGGTAATAGTGCAATGATTGTAGTACAAATTCCTTTTTTTTTATCCCAGTGTCTAAAATTTAGTCAATTTTTAGGCAAATTTGGGCATGGCCTAGACAATGACGCCCTGGCCATCCTGGCGTCTGCCAAGACGCGCATCTATAAGTACTTCCTAGGCGTGGAACTGAGGAGTGTTCAAGAAGACCCCCTCTTTGTCTGGAGGAGAACTCTCTCAAGATGGGGAAGCCTTCCTTGCTGAAGATATTTGTATATATATTCCCCTACACTTGTTATGCCCTTTTACTCTTTTATTTTTCCACCTTTGTAAAATTTGATTAAAAGAATCAATAAAATTGTTTAAATTGTCAATTGTCTAAAATTTAGTCAACTTTTTGAAACTGATGGGTGTTGTCTTCATTAAGAATAAATGTAAGTTTTGTTGACTCGAATAACCTGAAGTACTTACTGTGCCAATCCTCAAACAGCCATTGGTTGATACCTGACAGTACTCCTCTATGCTCAGAACTTCTGTGACGCCGTGTGGCTTAGATGGATAAAGCGCCTGTCTAATAAACAAGAGATTCTGAGTTCGAATCTCGCCAGTGCCTTTATTTATTTATTTTTTTGGTATACGCTTGTTCGGCGATACATATGCTGAAATTGTAACGATATAGAGATTAGCATGGCCCTGAGCAAAGATGACACGCAAATTCGTAAAGAATTCTTCTCAGAGCTTCATTTCTATAGCTAGTTTTTTGATGGTATCATAAGGCCTTTTCTCGAAATTGTTCATGAATTCCATTCTCTATATCTTCCTCTTTCATCCATTCCTACATCAATACCTTAATCCACTCTGAGTGTCGGACAAGATGTCTAAATAGGCTGATTCTTCTTCCTCAGGTAGCACAACTAGAAGTGTTATCCACAAACACTCTAGGAAACTATTCAAATTCAAAACTTTGTGATTTTAAGAGCAAATATCGAAAATTCTTTCCAAGTTCGAAATTTGACGGTGCAAGAGTTAGAAATCAATCTTTGATTTTACACAGCAGACAAGATTGAGATTGGATTTAAAAAATGAATATCCTCGTCAAAAATCTTATTTGCTTCGAATATTCTGTCAGATCTCATTGGCTTTAGATATCTAGTTCCCAACAAAAATCTTCAAGACACAATAGTGATGTATAGAGTTATTTATTTGTTTTGCATAATATTTAATTTATATAAATTAATCTTATAATTTAGTCTGTGAAAATAAAAATATTGGACTGGTGACCAAACAAAACTGAAAATAGATGGCTTAATGTTATATAGTTATGATATATAATTAATTGTGATGGATATGTAATTTTGATCTTCATTGAATAAAATATATAAAGTTTAAATGTGTTTTAAACTTTAATAAGAAGCACAAAACAAATAGTTGTAATATCAAGTTTTACAATAAATTTATCTAGAATTTTTTTCTTCACAAAAAAAAAACGATATTTTAAAAACTCAAAAGTAATATAATAAAAGTACCTACTTGTACTATAGCTTCCATAAAATACTCGGTGTTGTGGCTTATTTTATATCATCAGCTTTACATTTTGTACTGAAGTAATGGACAAAATACGTTAATTTTATATATTTTTAAAGGTATATATCCCTCCTTTAGTACACCTTTTTTTTACTTATCCTTTTAGTTTAAATTAGACAAGATCTTGGAGGTCGTGCTCGTAAAGAAGCTCAAGAACTCTTCTTGGTTCTCTGGACAGGGATCTCTTGTCCTTTCCAATGCAGTTTAGTAAATGTTGGGGAGTGGCCTCTTCGGTTTTGCACCTAATGCACATGGGGTAGCTAGTACACATATAAATAAAAAAAGGCATATCCTGACCAGCAGCACATGTGCTTTACGGATGGCAGAGCGCCATCTAGTGGAACAGAAATCAACTAAACATTGATTTAGCCTGTTCTCTGATATTTGGCCGACCTCAATTTCTTGATAAACCAAGAAAAGCCATCCACGAAAAGCATATATGCTCCTGGTCAGGATATGCCTTTTTTATTTTTAATATCCATACCTGAATTTTTTTATTTTTTCTATCATTTTTTCACATAAAAATAAATCGTTCTGAAAATAGAACAATCCATACTTAAATCATTAGATAGTAAAAAGGCATATATTGGATTAAATAAAATATTTATTTGCCAATATTTCGGCTGGCTGAACGCCAACCTTTATCAAGGCATTACATCTTTGTATAGTTTATGTAGAGTTTGTGTATAAAAAAATGTAATGCCTCGATAAAGGTTGGCATTCAGCCAACCGAAATATTGGCAAATAAATCTTTTATTCAATCCAATAAATGCCTTTTTACTATCTAATATAAATAAATATATAAAATGAAAGGATTTAAAAGCACGAATGTTTCTTTTATACATTATTGTTTGCGGAAGAGCATTGCTCGATGCAAATATTTGAATGTAATTCTATTGTCCTATAAGCTTATGTCCATAGTTTTCTTGAAAACCATTTCTGAGATTCCATCCTTCAGTGCTGCGTATATAAGCAGAATCGTCCAATACAGTATTAGAGCTCTGAGAAGCGGTCTGGTGGATTAAATTGGCGAAACCGCTGGGAGGGTTCACCACTGATGAGCCAAGAGCCCTCCCAATATATTTTTTCATCGCAGTAAGGACAGTAGAAGTTTGTATTATGTATAAAAGAAACATTCGTGCTTTTAAATCCTTTCATTTTATATGTATAGATGGCGCGTTATTGCTTCTTGTTAATAAATAAAATGTTTGAAAATGATTTTCCAGAATGGCACTAGCTGAAATGGGTCTATGTATTACTGTGCAGGGTGGTCGTGAAAGCTCTAAATAAAGTGGCGTGGGCCAAGGAAGACTTACAAAGGTTAGAGAGAGTGTTGTCTACATAGAAAGGTCCATTGTTCTCAACACAATGTTTACACAATGTATATTGTTATCTAAACATAGCACTCTACATGGCTCCAATTACACCAGGGGACACATGCCGTACCTATATATTATCTGGAGGTTGATGGCTTAGTGTTAGATATTTAGTTCTTCCTATTCTTCTATCATCTTGTTCCAAATTAACTTTATTAGGTACCGCTCAAATAGAGCAAGCGAGCTTATGTTGTTTACAATAAATATAATTGCTTTAACCAAATACAAAATAATTCAACAAAAAATAAAATCAAATATACGAAATAAACTCTCTCTAAGAGAAGAATTACAAAAACTATAACAAGACTCAGAATGAAACACTATAAAGGAATGACAATACATCCAGATGGTACAATAACCTATAGGACATGTAACAACTGTCCTGGTGTGGAACTAACACCTATCCATATATTCTCATGCCCAGCAATGGTCGCAGTCTTGCAGAAAATTGACATGGACCCTGAGCAGCAGCTTTACACAACCAAGAAAGTTTCTAAGTTTCAATTTCTAAGTTTTAACATCGTAGTTATACCTGTCGAAGGGCTGTTACATCCGAAAGCTTGTATTGTCGTGATAGAAACTCTTCCTTCAGAGCGAATTGTCTCTTATTTATTATTTTATATACCGAAAGGATTATAATATTAACAGATAAATTTGTTTAAATATATTTTTGAAGTTCTATAATAAAGCATTTTAAAAATTCTCACAGAGTTTTAGAGTTATATCTCCCATCATCACAATAGGCAGAAAATTATGGCCATCTATTGACCGTCACTGCAAACTAGCGGATTCAGGTCAGTGACAAAGCCACAACACCAGCTTTGGCAAATTGAAAATTCCCACCTTGAGATAATGATGCTTGTTTATGAATGGTCTTCGTCAGTCCAGATCGGGCTTCAATTTCAGGATAATCATCATCAGCCTGTGAAATCGTGATCGTAAAGCGTACATAAGACTTACCAACTGTCTTGATTCATTTCAATAGATCCACAAGGAATTCGTCCTTTATTTTAAAAAATGCCAATGATTAGTTGGTTAAATGTTTTTTTTCCATCGAAAAATCCATATTTGTTGTATGCTTAGCAATCCAAAATAGTTTTAATGATACTTGATTAAGAAGAAAAAAGTCTTATCAACTTTTAAAAAGAAGAAAAAAAATTCTGTAGAAGGAAAACAAAATTGATTCAAACATATGCTCTTTTGATCGAAGCCAAATTGATCTAGTCTAGACGCACCAAGAATTGAATGGCAGCCAAGATGCTCAGAAAAATTTCCCGACAATTTGGCTGAAGAATGAGAAAAGATGGTCCATTCCGTGGTTGAATTTTGAACATATTGATGATTGTTAATGGTAAAGATAGAGGCTGCCTGGCCGGCATTCATATTTATTGAAAATAAAGATACTTCGGTCAGTAAATCTTTTTATTACCTCGATGTTGTTTGCTCCTGACGAGGACAAAAGATTTTTGTCGAAACGTCGAGGTAATAAAAAGATTTACTGTCTGAAGTATCTTTATTTTCAAGAAAGATGATTGTTATGTTGAAAACACTCCAGGGATAAATTTCTTAAATGATTACATTGTATCATGCTTTCTACTGTAGAAATGCTCTCGTGTCCATAATCTGAGGATTTGTAAATTGAAAAATATTTTACGAAAATCATCCCTGAAGGTCTGGTATTTTTAACTTAATATTTTGATACAAAGCTTTATTAAGACTACCGGTCTTATACAGATTCACAACAGGAAGGAAGCATAGATGGAGCTCCTATACTCCAGGCAGCACAGAACCCAACAGCCTCCAGGTCCGACGTTATAACAGAATACACACATACAGCTTTATTAAGACCACCAGTCTTATACAGATTCACAACAGGAAGGAAGCATAAATAGAGCTACTATACTCCAGGCAGCATAGAACCCAACAGCCTCCAGGTCCGACGTTATAACAGAATACACACATACAGCTTTATTAAGACCACCAGTCTTATACAGATTCACAACAGGAAGGAAGCATAAATAGAGCTACTATACTCCAGGCAGCATAGAACCCAACAGCCTTCTGGTCAGACGCATGTCCAGTGGCCACAGAATCCACCGTGCATAGGTTAGCGTATTACTGAAAAGGCGAGTGTTGAATCAGCCGCGTTCTAGTCTTCACTTTTCTCATCCAAATGGACCACGACATTCGGCGATTCTATTAATCTCCTCCGAACGGTGACTGCGGTCTTGTTATTTTGATGCAAGGGAATATTGAATATGCTTATGATATATCTTCTACGTGATGTCTGAATAACGAACACCGCTTCACCATTTCCAGAAATACCTTCCAAACTTAGAATAAAGGTGAGTAATCTAAAAATTGCATATCTAGCTTCTATACCTAGAGACGATAGAAATTCAACTAATACAAGGTTGTCCTAGAAGTTCGTAAACACTTACAAAAAATTGAAATACCAATATTATTCGCCGTTATGTATAATGTATCTGTATTATGTATAAAGTAATTATATTGTATGTATTATTATTTTTATATTATCTCATTGTATAATTATACAAGGTCATGGAGACTATATTCATTGATCAAATTCACAATCTTGGTAGGGTTGGAATATAAGTCCTGTCTTGAGGCTTCCATACATTCCAAGAGGTAG